ATCTCATCCTCAGTTGTCCCCCTTTCCTCGGGCCTTCAATCTTTCCCAGCATCAGGGTCTTTCCCAATGAGTCAGCTCTTTGCATCAGGTGGCCAAAGTATTGGAGCTTCAGCTTCAGCATCAGTCCTTCCAATGAATATTCAGGACTGATTTCCTTGACAATTGACTGGTTTGATCTCCTTACAATCCAAGGGACTCTCAAAAGTCTTTTCCAACACCACAGTTCAAAAGCCTCAGTTCTTCGGCGCTCAACCTTCTTTATCCAACTTTCACATCTGTACCTTATTTTAGTAAACTTTTGAACTCTGATAAAATTCTCTTACGTAGAATTTTCTGGAATTTTTCTATGTACACAGCCATATCTTTAAATAATAACTATTTCATTTTTTCTTTTTGAAGCCATGTGCCTTATATTTTTTTTTCTTTCTTTTTTTCTGTACCAACCTGGACACCTGATCCAGTGTTGGCTAGCAGTGATGTTATTGAGTATTTTTGGCTTGTTCCGATTTTTAAAGGGAAAGTGGCTCATATTTTATCATAATTGTGAGGTTTGCTCTAATACTCAGGACAAGGATACTCCCTTTTTTTGGTGGGTTACAAAGATTTTTGTGTGCTTGTTTTCCTAAGAGGATTTTTTTATTTTTACCCAAAGCTTTATCTGCGTTGCCTTATAATTCAATAATTTTTTCTTCATACATTTTGAGCAAATATTATGAAGTGAACATAATTATAGCTTCTTGGTACATCCATCTTTGTGTCATCTTTGTATCCTCTGTCTCTAATAATGACTTTTTTCTTTTTTTCCGCTCAGTTGTGTCCGACTCTTTGCAGCCCCATGGACTGCAGCCTACCACGCTCATCCGTCCGTGGGATTTTCCAGGCAATAGTACTGGAGTGGGTTGCCATTTCCTTCTCCAGACTTTTTTCTTAAGGTATGTTTTGTCTGATAGTAGTATCATCAACTTTCTGTTGGTTACCATTTGAATTTTCCTTTTTATTTTCTTGCAGTCTTTGTGTTTCAGGCTTAGCTCTTGAACATTGCTAGATATGTGTCATTATCTGTTTCATTTAACTGTTGATGACCAATGTCTGGATTTTTGATGTCTTATTTTATGCTGTCTGTTCTGCTCTTTCTGTTTTCTCCTGAGTTGGTCTAGTTGTCTTTATTTCCAGTTCCCCTCTCCCATGTTGGTTTGGAAAATGTACATTCAATTCTATTCTTTTAGCATCCTCTCTTAAAATTTGACTGTGTATTCTAGCCTCCACAAAGTCTATGGTTATCACCTCTTTCTTCTGAGCAATACAAGGACCTTTCTACACTTTCACTCCCATCACCCACTTCCCCACTTAGGTGCTATTACCGTCTGGTGTTTCGGTTCCCTCTTACTTTTGAACTCTCCAGTTTATCACTATTATTGTTATCGTTTTATGCAATCACTGCCTGCTCCTATTACTCCCATATTGACCAATTGTGTTTCATAAAATTTTACTTATTTCCTTATTTCTGGTTGTGTTGGGTCTTTGCTGCTGCATGCAGGCTTTCTCTGGTTGCGGCACGTGGGGGCTATTCTCTAGCTGCAATGCTTGGACCTCTCATTGCGGTGGCTTCTCTTGTTACAGAGCGCGGTCTCTAGGCCCAGGGGCTTCGGTAGGTGTGGCTTAGTTGCGGCACAGGCTTAGCTGCTCTGCGGCATGTGGGATCTTCCTGGACCGAACCCATGATCCCTGCATTGACAGGTGCGTTCTTACCCACTGGGCTACCAGGGAAGTCCTATAGTTTTAAATTTCTTTATCCTTTCATCTGGTATTTTCTTTGTGGGTTTAGTTTTCTTCCTCCTGAGGTACCTTTTTTAGTAGTTCTTTCAGAAAGGACTGTTAATAATAAACATGCTACCATTTTTTCTGGAAAAAGAAGTCTTTACTTTCTACCAACTTCCAAATGATAATTTAACAGCCTAGTTAACATTCTCTCATATCGCCCCAAACTCAACCTTCATGTGCTTCTTCTAGACTCCAGGGTCTGCACCTTCAGGCCCTGGAGCCGGGGTATTGGGGAGGTAATGTGCCCCTTGACAATTAAGAACCAGTGTGGGGTATTTTAGAAATATCTTCATTTTCTTGACCCAAGAAAGGGATAGTTCTGAGGTATGTGTCTTACCCTTTGTCCTAGACTTTCCTCAAGGGATCAAGCTCAGTTGCCCATGTCATAACTGGCTTAATAAACATCTTTTATTGACTTCTCTCCATTTCTCAAGTCCCCACTTGCCTGCCAGTGTTTTCTGCTTTCCCAAATACATTGCTTGCACTAAAATTCTCAGGGCCTGCTTTAGGGTGGGGTGGGGTGGGGTGGCATTCAAGCCAAGGCACTGCCCTTGGGTATCTACACTGAAGGATATTTTCTCAGCACTTAAGAATCTATTTATTTATTTGGCTGCGCCAATCTTAGTTGCAGCACATGGGATCTAGTTCCCTGGCCAGGGCTCGAACCTTCGCTCCCTGCAATAGGAGCAGGGAGTCTTAGCCAGTGGACCACCAAAGAAGTCCCTCGGCACTTCTCTTTGGGTCTCCTGTCAGTTTTTGTCTCCTTATCTCTTTGAACAATTTCTTCCACTTTATCTTTCAGCCAGTTTTTCTTCCAAAATGTCTGGTGTTTGTACTGGGATTTTTTTAATTGACTATTTGCATTTCTAAAAGTCCTTCATCAAGTCTTCCTTCTTTTTTCTCATGGTGTCTTATTTTTCTGTTTTCAGTTCCTGCTTTTTATGATGATTTGAAACACTCTTATTTTTTCCTCTCTCTCTGCTCATTTAATTATCTGAAGTTCTTGGGGATCTAATCCTCCTTTTGATTGTGAAGGCTTCTTCTTGCCCATGACGGACTGTGTTCCCAAGTGTTGTAAAATTTGTGATTTTGAACTCATCCTCTAGAGAGCTGTATCTGTGAGTATTGTACGTGACCTGAGAAAAAGGTTTATCTTTTTAGATACATTTATGTTTGTTTCTACCAAGACTCACATATGTGTCAGTTTCTCAGTTCTGGAGTTCCTGGACCATGTGATCATGTCAGTCTGAACTTGAAATCTGCAGCACTGTGGGCCCATGGCTACAAATTCTAGAGACTTAATTTTCCCACCACCAACCAAGACAGATGGAGACAGAATTCTTTATCTTTTATGTTGGTGGCTGGATTTTTTTTTTCCTGTGTACCCTTTGGAAGGTGGTTCCCTTCCAGGGTTTAGCCATGTGCATGGGTCTTGTTTCAGCTTTCTGCCTGAGCCAGACCCGAAGCCTCATTTCCTGTTCTCATGAGGCTCGGCCTTGAGATGCCCGGGCTCACTAACCTTGCAGACTTGAGCTGCTTCCTGTGGATTCGAGTCCCTCTTCCTCTTTGATCCTTGGAGGTAGTCATCATCTTCCTCCCAATTTGGCTGTGCATTTAAAGAACATTTGCTGTATCTAACACGACATTTCAAGATGTCTCGTAGGGAGTGGATTTTCAGGTCATCTAGCTAAAAACAAGTGGGAAATGGAAGTCCTTGGGTGCCTTTTCTGCTGTATTGTGCTAATCCTGCCTCTTTGACCATTTCTTCCGTAGGAGCGTTTATCTTCCTCTCCTGGGGTGGTAAAGGGGGTGGTAGGGTGTGAGGTGTGCGTGTGGGAGGGGGAGGTTGCAGACAGAAGGTTTCCCAGACTCTTAGGGCAGGTGCCATGGCCTGAGAAGCAGTGGGTGGGCTTCCTCACTGAGATGCCTCTTAGGCTACCTGTTGCAGAGCCTGGGGTCCCAGCATGAGAGGCCCCATGCTCCGCTGTTTTATTGGCTCCCTCTTCTAGCAAGAATTAATTTAGCAGGTGATTGAAAACTAGGCTCAGGGGAATTGAAGTTTGGGAAGAAGAACTGGTATGTGTCTGTATGTGGTATGTATGTGGTGTATATGTGTATGTATGTGGAGTATGTGTGTATGGAGTGTGTGGTATATATGTAGTATGTGTGTGGGGCGTGTGTGATGTGTATGTGTTGTGTATGTCTGTATGTGGTGCCTGTGTATGTGATGTGTGTGCGCAGTGTGTATGTGTGTGGTATGTATGTGCTATATGTAAGTGTATGTGCGGTATGTGTATGGTGTATGGTATGTGTGTGATGTATGTATATGTATGTGTCTGTATGTGGTAAATGTGTGTGTGGTATATATATAGTGTGTGTATGTGGTGCATATGTGGTGTATATGTTGTGTATGTTTGTGGTGTGTATGTGTGTGGTGTGCATATGTCGTGTGTATATATATGTACAGTGTGTGTATGTATATGTAGTGTGTATATGTGTGTGTGTATACGTTATGTGTGTGGTGCGTATATTGTGCATGTGGTTCATATGGTGTGTATGTGATGTGTGTGTGTAAGGTTACGAAGGAGTCAGGGCACCAGGTGGGTTTGGAAGCATCTTTGGGAAGGACAGCCTCCAACCATCCACCCATCATCTCAGAAAGGCCAGGACCAGTGGCCAGGCCCCTTACCTGTAACGCACCCATTCTCTGTCCGGGACCCAGCCTGGCGGCCCTCATGGGGGCCGGGACCCGATCTCCCACACCTTGAGGGGCAGGAAGCACCAGCTCCCTCCTTACTCTAAACACGGTTGCTCAGCTGGCTTAGGTGGAGGTGTTTCTCCAAACTCCCCTGGAGTCTGGCCCTGGAGACCGGATCCAGAAGCTCTGTTGCTCTGGCCTGGGTTCCTCCTCAGCCTGGGGTGGCCTGCCTGGGACAGCCAGCCTCCCTAGTCCTCTGGTTTGTGGGGCGCTGCCTATGGAAGGATCAGGGCCTGTGTGGGGGCCCTGGAGGGCCAGGAGGCTCATTGGGGCAGAGGCTAAGAGGCGTCCCACCAAACTGTTCAAAGCCTTATCGCCTTGGAGGTGTTTCTAGTACCATTTCCGTCCATTGTTTCCTCTGGGTCATTAGGAGGAGGCCTGTCTCCTGTTGTGGCTGCTCACAGCTACTGTGGTGGGAAAAGGGGGGGTGTGACCGCAGACGTCACGATTTGGGCTTTATCTCCCCTCGCCACAGGGCATCCGCGGCCTGGGGATCACTCACCAGCAAGGCAGTCCAAAGCCGCAGAAGTTCCTGGAGAGCATGGCCTAGGGCTGGCGGCAGGACTGTGGAGGCTGAGCTTCCTTGGAGACACCTGCACCCCCTTCCGCAGGGGAAGGTACGGGCTTTGGGAGGAGGGCTGGCTCACTGTGGAAGGAGATGCAGGACTGACCCCCCAACCCCCGCCCTGGGGACCTGGGGTTCTCCTTCCGGGGATTAGTGTGCAGGGGTGATTCACAGCCGAGGACCCTCCTAATGCGGTCTTCTCCACCTGCCTCTGGGGGTTCTGTGGCTGCTTCTGCTCCTGTCTGGGCTTTACTGCCTGGGCTTGACCAGACAGGAAGAGACAAGCCCTTCCCTCGCCCCTGGGTACCTTCCAGAAGCAGCCTGATGTACCTGTGTGTATGGCTGAGACCAAGGCTTGGCCATATGGGACATCAGTGTTCCTTCCCCAGAACAGTTATATATTGATGGGTTTACGTCTCCTTTGTTTGGTCAGATGGGACAGTGGGTGGGAAAGGACACCCCCCACCCCCGCCACCCCCTGCCCAGGGAATGTCAGATGACAGAAAAGTGTTAGTCGCTCAGTCGTGTCCAACTCTGTGTGACCCCATGGACTGTAGCCTGCCAGGCTTCTCTGTCCACGGGGTTGTCCAGGCAAGAATACCAGAGTGGGTTGCCATTTCCTTCTCCAGGAGATCTTCCTGACTCAGGGATCCAATCCAGGTCTCCTACATTGCAGGCAGACTCCATATGATCTGAGCCATTAGACAAGGCCAAATGAGAGGCCCTGCACTTAATTTAGCTGCTTTTCCAGAGGAGACAGCGGTGGCTGGAGCCCTGAGGGACCCAGGGTGTGCTCAGCCAGCCAAGGTCAGTGGTCCCTTTCTTGGAGAGGGGGAGTCACACCTCTGGGAACCTTGCCCGCCACCCAGGGCTGCTGGACTCCTGTCCACTTACCAGATCAACTCAGCAGATTTTTCCTAAACACCTCCTGGGTGCTGGGCGTTGTGCCAGGTGCTGGGGTCGGGATGAGAGAGGGAGTTCGTGTACCTTGTGGATTGCCTACGTGTGTGCTAAGGCACTTCAGTCATATCCTCTTCTCCAGTTTGCTGCCAAGTGTGGAAGGATGAGGAGGAGGGAATGAGCTGCTCCCTGCTCTGAGCTGCTGAAGGATCTGGGAATGATGGGGGTCAGGCTGGCGGGGGGCAAGGGGAGGGCAAGGCAGACCTTTCCTCTCCGTATGCCACAGAGACCCCTGTTTGGTGAAGGATGTCTGGGGTCCTGACCCAGTGATTAATACTCTTGGGCCTGCTTTTTTGGGGGGACGAGCAGTCCATGTTTAGGTCCTTCCCAATGGCTCAGCGGTAAAGAATCCACCTGTAGTGCAGGAGATGTGGGTTCGATCCCTGGGTGGGGAAGATCCCCTGGAGGAGGAAATGGCTATCCACTCCAGTATTCTTGCCTGGAGAATTCCATGGAGAGAGGAAGCTGGCAAGCTACAGTCCATGGGGTCCCAAAGAGTTGGACACAACTGTAGCAACTGAGCACAGTCTATGTTTAAGCGGGAAATGAGGGTCATTATTTTCTCTTGCTTAAAAAATTCTCCCCACTTCACATGTGGCCAGTAGCACTGACAGCAGCCACTCACCTCTCCCACTTTTCCGCAGATGTTTCCCACCAGGCTTGCAAGGCTGCTGCTTGCTGTGGCCCTCACTTTGCCAGGTAGGTCCCATGGTGATGCCTCGGGCCATTGGGAACCACCCCCTGCCAGGGATCAGCAGGTGTGTCTGGAGCACACCTGTGTGTCCAGCCCTATGTTCGGCTCCTGTTGGGTCTGTGGAGTCACTGGGCGCCTGGTTAATTTCTCTTATGAAAGTTCTGCGGAGCCCACTGCCCCTGATGTGTGTTTCTCAAGTAGTTGGTGCTTGCACATATCTTCTCTGATTGGGGAATTAAGAAGGACCAGGGACACACAGAACAGTCCTTTAGGATGGGGATGGAGGATGGGGAAAAGAAACCCAAGACTTGGGTAGATTATTAGTTTTTGAGTGGATGGTGGGGCTCATTTATTTGTGCAGCTGTACATCCCATAGTAGCGATGAAGAGACAGAGGATCAGAGAGGAAAAATGACTGCTCTAAAGTCACACAGAACCAAGATCAGAGGTCAGTTCTCCTGGGTCTCAGGCCAGCTCTCCTCCACTGTAGACACTGCCTTTCCTCCCTCACTGAGATGCTGAGTCTATAAATGGCAAAAGGAACCCTTTCCTGATCCTGGTCTCACCCTCGTTTCCACTTAGATAACAGGATCAGCAGCATCCAACCCGCTGCCCACAGGGGCAGATGTACTTTTGTCACTCTGCATCTTCCTTTTAACTGTAACCCTAACCCTAGTAGGAGGGTCCTGGGCCAGAGGATGCAGAAAACTTGGAGAGTGACTGCTGTGATTTCCTACCTGCCGACACATACACATACGCACGTACACTGTGAGGTGAAGTTGGCAAGTGTCAGCATATGATCTTGCAGGGGTTAGCATTTCATAGGTTCTATGGGTCAGGCACACTGATCTATTGATCTACTTAGAATTTAATATATTCAAGATATACCAGTAGATTAAAGGACACTCATTACAATCTATTTACACATCAGAAAACTGGAAAATGTTAGAACCCATACCAAATTCATTTCAAGGCAAGGTACAATACAGCCCACAAAAATCATGTTTTGGAAGTAGGGCATGGTAAATTCTTTATAATATATTGAGAAATAAACAGGTTATAAGTAGTTTGCTCAGTCAGTTTGCTGACAAATTTGCAAAAAAACCCCTGTAATTGTTTATACACAGTAAAATAGAAAGAAAAGGCAAACACTTTGCCTAAAATGTCAACTCTAGTTACTGCTGAATGTTGGTTGCAGATGATTTTAACTTCCTTTTTTATTCTTCTTCAATATTTTCCAAATTTTCTCTAAAGAGCATGCAGTATATATTTCAAATTGTCTGTCAAAGAATCAATTTCCCGAAAAGCAGTTCTTCCACTATTGGGGAGTCCTGGGTAATTCTTGGGGGCTGAAAGCAACAGTTTTAGTGTTGTTTAAGATGGAAAGTCCTTCCCCGTAGCCTGATTTCTGACGGCTGCAGCCTCATTTCTCCTGGGCTGCAGTGGTTTGAGCTGTTGGTACCTGCTTTACTCACATGTGGCCTTTCCCTCCAGGGGCCCTTTGTGGAGAAGGGGCTCTTGGCAAGTCATCGATGGCCCGGTGCAGCCTCTTCGGAACTGACTTCATCAATACCTTTGATGAGAGCATGTACAGCTTTGCAGGAGACTGCAGTTATCTCCTGGCAGGGGACTGCAAGACACACGCCTTCTCAATCGTAGGTGAGTCCTTGCCCTAATGGGAGGAATTCAGAGTGAGGGGGTGGGCAGGAGTGGGGGCAGCCTAGCTCAGTCTTGGCAGGTGGGGGCTGTCAGGTTGGGGGTTGAGGCTTCCCATTCTTTTTTTTTTTTTGAGGCTTCCCATTCTTATGATAGTGCCGAGCCAAGATCATGGTGGGGAATGACCTCTCCATGACGTAGGGATTCCCTTGACTTCTCCCTGGGTCTCTTCCTGTGGGAGCCTTGTGGATAGAGAGAGTCTTCCTGCTTCTCCAGTGTTTGGGTCCATTGCTCTGGGTCCAGGCAATGCTCTGGAAGCCCTGAAGCATCAGGAGAAATGATGACCCAGAAAGCCTGTAGAAAAGGGAAGGAAGGTTGCCTGTTCCTGCTGGAGGTCGGAGTATCAGCTGATGTGGAACATCTCCTGTGTTCCTGGCAAAGGGCTGGTACTGTGCCTGTGTTATCTCTGCTCCCCCGAGGCAGGTCTGAGAGTGGGGGGCAGGCAGTCACTCCAGTTTCACATGTGATGAGTTGAAGCCCAAGGAGGTCGATGATCCTCCCAAGGGCTGACAGGTAAGAAAGGAAGAGCTGGATTTTGATCCTGGGCATGTCAGGAAGAAGGACCTTGCTCCTGTATTAAGGAGAGAGGGCACTGTCCAGGGCTGGGAGTGGGGCTGGAGGCAGCGATGGAACATTGCAGTTTGGTGAGCTTCACACTCTAACAGTTCACAAGATGTGTGTGGTAGTGAGAGCGATCATGTGAAACCCAGCAAAGGTGAAGTCCTTAGCCATGGCGAGGTGGGACAGGTAGAAGGGGAAATGGTAATAGACAGACCCACACTGTCACAGCAAAATTTTGTGGCAATTGTTATAAGGACAGTGAGGGAGACCCCCTTGGACTGCAAGGAGATCAAACAAATCAATCCTAAAGGAAATCAACCCTGAATATTCATTGGGAGGACTGATACTGAAGCTGAACTCCAATACTTTGACCACCTGATGCCAAGAGCCAACTCATTCGAAAAGACCCTGATGCTGAGAAAGATTGAGGGAAGGAGAAGAAAAGGCTGATAGAGGATGAGATGGTTGGATGGCATCACCGAGTCAATGGACACGAGTTTGAGCAAGCTCTGGGGGACAGTGCAGGGCGGGAAAGCCTGGCGTGCTGTAGTCCACGGGCTCACAAAGAATCGGACACGACTTAGTGACAGAGAAACAACAACACGGATTCTAGTTCCCCGACCAGGGATCGAAGCTTCACGCCCTGCAGTGGAAGCGCAGAGTCCCAGCCACTGGACCATCAGGGTTGCCCCCTGGGTTCTCCTGCTTCTCTGGCTGCACCCTTCCGGCCCCGCCTCTGCTGGAAAACCTTTCCCAGTGTGGCTTCAGCTGTCTGAACGTCACGGGAATGCCATTTTCCCTACTGCTCCGTGAATCTCTCAAGGGCCAGGACCGCGCCACACTCATCTTTGTTTCCTTAGCTCCCTGCCGTCTTTGTCAACACCAAAGGGGGCGTTGCACAAAGCGTGGTTCTCTATTGTATACAAGAGCAGGTTTCGTGAACAGCAAGGCGTGCAAGGCCTTGGGGAGNGCCAGGACCGCGCCACACTCATCTTTGTTTCCTTAGCTCCCTGCCGTCTTTGTCAACACCAAAGGGGGCGTTGCACAAAGCGTGGTTCTCTATTGTATACAAGAGCAGGTTTCGTGAACAGCAAGGCGTGCAAGGCCTTGGGGAGGGGGTTTGCTTGGGTAGACAGGATAAGGAAGGTGCCCCGTGTAGTGGGGACAGCAGGAATAAAGGCGAGAGTCTGAAAGGGGTAAATTTGGTGCCATGCACCCCAGCTGGGGGGGATCAGTGTGGTGGGAGCTGTGGGCCCCATCAGGCTCACCTGGAGGCTGGTTAAAACATGTCACTGGGGTCCCCCAGCCTTGGTCCAGGGTGTCTATGCCACTGGATTCAGAGTGTGGCATGAGATATTCTCCTCTAGCAAGTTCCCGGCTGCTCCTGGGGGGTTGTGCCCAACTTTGAGAAGCACAGGCCTGGAGAGGAGAGGGTGAAAGATGGGGTGGTGGGGGGAGCTGATGGTGCTGGAACTTGCTGTCTGATGGCGGAGTTTGTTTCTCGATTCAGCAGGCAATGAGGAGCTAGTGCAGAGCCTCCACAGGGAGGGTCAGGAGGAAATCGGTTCTTAGCCAGGATGGTCCTGGAAGGGAGAGAGGCAGGAAGCAGGGTGGCCTTGGCCATGGTCACCAGGCAGTTGGTGAGAAGGACTGGAGGCGTCCCTAGGGCATGATGAGTTGAGGAAGTCATCCTGGACTCTGAACTCTGGGCACCTACCTTGGTTCAGAGGCAGCAGCAGAGAGAAAAGCACCCAGTCACCTTCCCCAGGAAGCTGAGGGCCCAGGTCCTTCCCCCTCAAGTGGTCCCAGTGTTTATCTCAGTGGATTTCTCCACCTTGAAAGTCACGGTGCGCTTATTTTGTTTTCAAGTGTCCACATGTGAGATTGTACAGCTTTTGTCTTTCTCCATCTGCCATATTTCACTTGTACCATGCCCTTGAATTCCACCCACATTATCGTAAACGCACTGTGAGCACTTGGGGGCCCGCCTCTCAAGGTCAAGGTAACGCTGACCTCCCCTCTGTACATCTATGCAGGGTGGTGTCAGAAGTCTGGCCTCTCTGGCCGTCCTTTGGGTTTCAGGGGCCAGGAGGAATGGACGGGCTGAATTAGGCCTCTCTATGTTCAAAGCATCACCGTGGAATACCCTCTCTGTGTTCTTCTTCTTTTATCAACTTGCTCTTGTCAAGCATCAGTTTTCTGGCAGGTAACTGGCCTAAGTCAGGCTACGAATCAATCACATTTCAATGTAGATTGGTTTAATTCTCACCCCAAATTGTGCTGCTATTATATAACATTGGAGAAAATGGGCGGCTACTTTGTCTGTTTTGAATGGGGAGGGTGGGTGTTGGCAGGACACGGGTAACCCGAGGAAGTGGTCCGGGTAGGGTGGGCTGGCATGGCTGCTCTGGGGTCACCTTCCCCAGGAAGCTGAGGGCCCAGGTCCTTCCCCCTCAAGTGGTCCCAGTGTTTATCTCAGTGGATTTCTCCACCTTGAAAGTCACGGTGCACTTATTTTGTTTTCAAGTGTCCACATGTGAGATTGTACAGCTTTTGTCTCTCTCCATCTGCCATAGTTCACTTGTACCATGCCCTTGAATTCCACCCACATTATCGTAAACTCACTGTGAGCACTTGGGGGCCCGCCTCTCAAGGTCAAGGTAACGCTGACCTCCCCTCTGTACATCTATGCGGGGTGGTGTCAGAAGTCTGGCCTCTCTGGCCGTCCTTCTTTGGGTTTCAGGGGCCAGGAGGAATGGACGGGCTGAATTAGGCCTCTCTATGTTCAAAGCATCACCGTGGAATACCCTCTCTGTGTTCTTCTTTTATCAACTTGCTCTTGTCAAGCGTCAGTTTTCTGGCAGGTAACTGGCCTAAGTCAGGCTACGAATCAATCACATTTCAATGTAGATTGGCTTAATTCTCACCCCAAATTGTGCTGCTATTATATAACATTGGAGAAAATGGGCGGCTACTTTGTCTGTTTTGGATGGGGAGGGTGGGTGTTGGCAGGACATGGGTAACCTGAGGAACTGGGCCGGGTAGGGTGGGCTGGCATGGCTGCTCCGGGGAACGGGGGTCACCGGGTCAGGGGAGGGAGCTGGCAGCCGCGGATGCTGCCCTTCAGTCCTGCAGGCTCAGCGGTGCCCTCCCCCATGCCTGGGCTCCATTGTTCTCCAATGACATCCTGTTTCCTCACTTCCAAATCACGAATTCCCATTCCTCTCCTGCGGACCTTGTCCACATCCTGGGTAAAGTGTTTGTGTCTGAGCATGCAAGGCCACCTGGTGCAAAGGGGAGGCTCTTTGACCTGGTGCTGGCTCCTGGCCAGCAGGCTCCATTCAGGGACTCAGGTCAAGGCTCCTAGCCAGCCAGCACGGGGACCTGGGAGAGACCTCGGGAGTCCTGGTGGCCCCCACACCGGGACCTGGCTCCCATAGCAGCCCCAAGAGTCACGGACAACCTGCAAGGTTCTGAGTGAGCTCCCAGCCTGAGACTCTTGTCTCTAATCAGGGCGTCGTGGCCAGGTCACTGCTCACTGATCATCACTGTGCAGCTTTTGGCTCATGTCCACCTGCATCAGAGTCACAGGGTGGAGGATGGAGTGTTTGTTAGAGATGCAGATCTGTGAGCCCCGCATTAGGAAGGCAGAGACAGCACTTGGGTTGAACTTGGCTTCCTGGGGTGCTCCTCGCTCACCCAGGGGAGGTTTTGCTCCCTCACTTAGATCCTCAGTCCCTGAGTTCAAGAGGCCAGAAAGGATATGGGGTATAGTGGGAGCTTCCCTGGCTCGCCCCTGAGATGGACACCTTGCCCATCCTCTGGCAGACACAGGAAGTGCAGACCTGTGGGTCTGCAGGGCATGGGAGTGTCCCCTGGCGCTGGGCTCGCTGGCGGTTTCTTCTGGCTCGTCATTCTAATGGCTGCCCATCATCCTTCCCGATGATCGTCCTTCCCACTCCAGTATCCTTGCCTGGAGGCTGCCCATCGTCCTTCCCGAGTTCTGCCGGGAGAGTAGGAGACAAATAAGGATCAGGGCTGATGGAGGGTTCTCCTCTGCATTAGTGGTTCACAACCCTGAGCGCTCAGATGCTCCATTAAGAAATTTGTGTGACAAAGGGAGGTTTGGACTTGGAGTCAGAAAGCCTGATGCAGTTAGTGGTGTCAACTAGTAGTTCTCAACCTGGGTGATTTTCCCCCCAGAGGACATGGAGTCTGGAGGCATTTGGGGTTGTCACAGCTGGGGGTGGATGCTAGTGGCATCTGACGGGCAGAAGCCAGGGATGCTGCTAATGACCTACATGCACGGAGTGGCCCCCACAGCAAAGAAGTATCTGGCCCCCAGTGTCAACAGTGTCGAGGTGGAGAAAACCTCTTGTACACTTGGGCCTCAGTCTCTCCATCTGTAAAAGGGAGTCAGTCTAGGTCAATGTTTTGCAAACTGAGTCAAAAATTATGGGTCATAAAATGTTATCGTCACCAGCATTAAAAAAATTTGAACAGAAAAGAATAGAAGACATCAGAAATTACCAGAGCTCATGGCTCTGGTAAGGATAGGGATGTCATGGGAAATGTGTGTGTGCACACACTGGATCATGAAGTCATTGGTGTTTTTACTCTACTTTCTGGGCAAAAACTTTTTAAAAATTTATTTTCTCAGGCAGTAAAGAATCTGCCTGCAAAGCAGGAGACCCAGATTCCATCCCTGGGTTAAGAAGATCCCCTGGAGAAGGGAATGGCAACCCACTCCAGTATCCTTGCCTGGAGAATGCCATGGACAGAGAAGCCTGGCGGGCTACAGTCCATGGGGTCGCAAATGAGTTGGACAAGACCGAGCGACTAACGCTTTCACTTTTTTTGAATTACAATGTTGTGTTTGTTACTGCTGTACAACAAAGTGACTCAGTTATACATGCATACACACACACACACACACACACGTTCTTTTTCATATTTTTTTCCATTACGTTTATCATAGGATATTGAATATAGTTTGCCATGCTGTACAGTAGGACCTTGTTGTTTATTCATCCTATATATACTAATGTGCATCTGGGAATCCCAAACTTCCAATCCGACCTTCTCCTACCCCCTTCCCTTGCCAACCACCAGTCTGTTCTCTACGTCCTTGATTATGTTCCATAGGTATGTTCATTTGTGTCATATTTTAGATTCCCCGTATAAGTGAGGTCATATGGTATTTGTCTTTCTCTTCCTGACTATTTCACTTAGTATGATAATCTCTAGGTCCGTCCATGTTGAGGCAAGTGGCGTTGCATTCGTTTTTATGGCTGAGTAGCAGCAGCAGTGTTCCACTGTGTGTGTCCATCAGGTCTTCTTTACCCATTCCTCTGTTGGTGGACATTTAGGTTATTTCCATGACTTGGTTATTGTGAATAGTGCTGTTGTGAGTATAGGGGTGCATTATCTTTTTGAATTACAGTTTTATCTGGATATATGCCTATGGGTGGCATCACTGGATCATATGGAAACTCTATTTTGAGTTTTTTGAGTAATTGTCATACTATTTTCCACAGCAGTTGCACCAGTTTGCAATCCCACCAACAGTGTAGGAGGGTTCCCTTTCTAAGAGATCATTTTAAATAACACATCCCAGAGTTCACGTCACCAATAACTCACATGGTGGCTTTGATTCACTGCTTTGCAATGTATTTGACTCATGCTTAATTTTATCTCTATACTTTGATTGTAAACTCCCAGAAGGAAGGAGTTAGGATTTTACATTTTCCTTTAAAGAAATAGACTATTAGAGAGCTTTGCATACAGAAGGCACTCAGTAAATATTTCCAGATGTGTGGAAAGATGAGTGAACATATGAGATTTTGGGGGAGATTTCTGTTGCCCATTTGTTAACTGGGGGGAGTTTCCCACTGAGATAAGATTACAGAGATGATGGTTATAAATAAATGTATTCACTTTTTGGGGTAATAATTGCTACCCAGTTTAAATAATTCTTTTCTTTTTCAGGGGACTTCCAAGATGGTAGAAGAGTGGGTCTCTCTGTGTACCTAGGGGAATTTTTCGACATCCATGTGTTTGTCAACGGTACCGTGCTTCAGGGGGGCCAGCAGTAAGTCGGAGCCCAGAAAGTTCAAATTAGAAGAGGCCCTGAGAATCCCCCTTGTACTCTCCCTCGTTTCTCAGACAAAGGAGTGGGGCCCAGAGAGAGAAAGTACATGTGCCCAGAGGAGGTGAGAAGGGTGGGTGAGAGTGGGGAATCCTGACTCTGAGACCAGGCTCTCAGCCTCTGCATGGCAGTCTGAACCCTGCAGAACAGGGTCAGGTTGAAGGGTGGAGGGACTCCCAGAAAATGGTCCCTTCCTGAGCTCCTCCTGTCTCCCCAGTGTCTCCATGCCCTATGCCACCAGAGGGCTGTACCTGGAAACCGAGGCTGGGTACCACAAGCTGTCCAGCGAGGCTTATGGCTTTGTGGCCAGGATCGACGGCAGCGGGAACTTCCAAATCCTGCTGTCGGAAAGACACTTCAACAAGACCTGTGGGCTGTGCGGTGACTTTAACGTCTTCGCCGAAGATGACTTCAGGACTCAAGAAGGTTAGATTTTCTGCAACAGCATTCCCTGAGGGCGTGGTTGTGTTACCCTGCTCACCAACCTACACTAGGACTCCTCCCCTGGTGTTCTACCTTCCCTGAGTCCTCACCTCAATTTATCTCATGAACTTTATCTCTTAGCATTCCACCTCAAGGCCTAGATCTGTCCTCAAATCAGATCTTGGGGATCCTCAGACCTGACTTGGTTCACTTTGAATTCCCCACATGGTAGATGTTTGATAAATGCTGAATGATCTGAACAGGTCCTCCTGAGCCACTGTGATGGAACTTCGCACATGAAATCTATAAAAGGTGGTCCTCTCCACTGTCCAAAAGGCCAGTTTATGTGTACATGTGCATGTGTGTGTGTGCGCATGTATATGTTCATGAAAAATAGGAAGTATGATGATATGGAATATGTGAAAACCACTGCTAATCCTCACTTTTCTTCTGAAAATTTCAATTACCTAAACATTTATGTGGACTTCCCTGGTGGCTCAGAAAAGAATCCTGGTGGTAAAGAACCTGCCGACCAATGCAAGAGGCATGGGCTTGATCCCTGGATTGGGAAGATCT